GTGAACAGAACAGTTTGCACGTTAAAATATAGCCGAGGGGTTTTCGATTCCGTAATAACACCTTCAGTAGGGACGGGAGTAATTATTATTATCGATAATTATAATGATTTGGAAGATTTATGACGGTGTTCTTAAGCCTTTTATTTAGAAAAGTATTAATGATGTAATCTCTTAAATTTCGGCTTCTATTGATAACAAAACAGTAGTTTTAATAATCTTAAAAAAATATTCTGTCAATAAATAAAACAAGTCTTTAAAGTTTAACTTAAGCAAACATACATAAATGTGTGTATTTAGAGGTATTTGATAGTTCAAATAAAATATATAACAATAATGTTGGAAATAATAAATGAGGATGATTTTGTTTTCTTTTATAGAAAACTCGTAAATATCATAAACGATAATTTATTATTTTGTTTACAAACATATCGATATCGATTAATTGTACATGCTCAATGCCCATCCTTAACCATATACAAATTTGGAGGGATGTTTGAGATTGTTGTAATAAAGTACAAAATCTTTGAAGAATGTTTAAAGAATATCGCGTTAGAGACTTCGCGCATTCAGGAAATGATACGCTTTTTGTTGAAATATTTCATTTCCCTGTGCTTTTGAAGATTCTTATTAAATTCTTCGTGTTGTTTGATCGTAAGGTGAAATTTATATTACTCAGTGTGTTAGGAGGACGTCAGATAATTTGATATCCTTTTTAAAACCTGTCAAGAAACGTTACTATAAAGTGACAGACGTGAGCAAGCAAAATAAAATATAATAAATGTCCTGTAACCATTGTCGAGATGTCCTGATATTTCAAACTGCTTATGCCCACTATATTCATAGTTAAGGTACTAATTAAAACATAATGATGTACTGATTGAAATATAATGATTCATTGTATAATTTCAATAACTAAACTGAAAAATAAACAGTTTTTATTTCTTCCTGTAAAGTTTGTACAAATGGACACAAGCAGTTTGAAAATTAGGCTGACGATAGTTGCCAGAAAGCTGGCTGCTTTTTCTAAGCTGATTGTTCATACCAATTCTTTAATTAGCCCCTTAAAAGGTTCTTGTAGGGGGAGGGAACGTTACTTTAATCCTGCCACTGCTTTACGAAATACCCAGGCTGGGTTGCACCATCTTACTTTAACTTTGACAAACGTCAAAAATCTGTCAAACTCCATACAAAAACCACCGGTTATCGTCATAGTTACGGTCAAAGTTATGTGGTGCAACTCAGCCTTAATGTGATGTGGTCAAAATATTTACATACCGCATTATTTAAATATCTCCTTTGAAATTACAAAACCGACTTTCTTTTCTTTCCCTCCCATTATCACAGTTCGTTGAGGACCCGAAATAAAAAACCCTGTTAGCTCTCAAAACGCGTCGGAGGCGTAATCTCCCAGATTTGAATACAAAGCAGTACAAACTCTTGTTTCTTTCAGATTGCGGTGTTTAGATAAATAATGTCAGGTTTTTCAACTTAAGATTTTATTCTTCATAACGTTGAGGGACTTTTGTGAAATGATATTTCTAAAACAATGTGAAAATGGAACCAAGTTCAATAGCTAGGCTTTATACATCGCTGCAGGCAACTGCTGTTCATTAAAATAAATAGTATGTAGCGATTTTACCCAAAATCATGATCAGTTAAGTTAATAATTACTTAAGTAAGTTTAGCCCACATAATATAGTACACCGGTATAAATAGATCACAGTGCATGTTTGACGTTTGCACAATTTACATTGTAATCAATGGATTACCAACGCTGCTTCTTCGTCAATCATTTGCCATGTTTGACCTCTTTGACACGCTCTAATCGAATTGGATTTACATACAAATAAAACCGGCACGCGGTTCTTTCCCGGTCCGAATCGCGCCGCACGCGCGGACACCGTCGGATAAATCGCATTAATCCAGTCCAAGGACCGATATGGGGTTCTGCACCCTATTTGTATGTAAATGAGCACTCGCCAACCGTTCCTTTGTGCCTTGACAGTTTTTTTAAACGGAAAATTCGAACAGTTACCCTTGAAGATACAAAGAATTTTTTTACGCGCAATTTTTCCTCCATGTTTTTCGGCTGTTTTGAATAATTTAACAATTTGCTTAATGTGGTTGTTAGGAAACGTTTAGACTATTAATTGGGGCGTTAAATGGCAGGGATTTAATTATAAAAAATGAAGATAGCAGGTGGGTGAATATCAACAAACTCGTTTTTTGCCTAATTCCGGTGGCGAATTTTAATTTCCACTTTCCAAAACTTTTTTGTGGCAGAAATAATAGTAAATAACTTGTATTATTCAATGATATGGTAGAGATCAAAATATTATTAATACTTCTCGAGATATGTCAATTTGAAATTATCAAGAGCCACCGAAATTGTATTTGAGCCACCGGAATTAAGAACCAATCCACCGAAATTTATTTATACAGCGGACTTCGGAATGTTACNTCAGTTGTATAGCACAGTGTACTTTTCCGTCGTTTGCATTCTAAAGTTCTTTTAAAACTTTCACAAAACTAAAGGTACCACAACGTAAGCTATCGTACCATCTCAATGGCTTTTTTCAGCCCACTGTGCAGTTTTCATGTTAAACTAATTGTATGCACATAAAAGTTGGGTAAAAGGCGAAAGTTTAAAAGTTTTCGCGTGTGGTAAAATTTGTGACCCAAAATGGCGCTGCCCACAGTGCAGCTAAAGCTGTGGCTTTTAGTGCCGCGGAAGTCAACTTCAATTTTGAAGTTATGTGGGACCAAATAAATAATATTAAACGAACTGAAAAAGTCAGTGGTTCATTTTGAAATAAATTTTAATTAGTTTTTAATGAATTTTCGGAGTGTCAGGTTTTCCCAAAATACAATTATAATGATCATAATTGGACAAGTCAGCAGATATTAATTCTCATCAGCTACTTTAAGATTATGATACTTGTGGTCAGGTCTCTAACGTAGTGTAGGTACCTAAAATAAAATTATTTTCGTTTTTGCCACAAATATTTATTTTTAACCAATTTTTGAACCTATTTTTTCTTATAAGTTAACTGCTATTAAATTGTTTTAAAGTTTAACAAGTTTATTAGTCCATATATTTTTTTTAATATGTATATCAAAGTATATTATTTGCTTTAAGCTATTAAATGTTAACACCGAATCATCAGCCACGCTGCCACCAACGCCCCGCCCCACACATAGACACCATACGTAAATTTTTGCGTCCAGTTTGTTCCTGTTGGCCGGAAGTCGTTACGGCGCGCACCTGTGAGCACAACTGCACTTTTTGTGCCTTTTCAGCCGGCGCGCTTGTTTGCAGTCAGTTTTACAGGAACTTGTCGTTGATGTGTTGCGGTATTTTTTGGTACAGCTTTATGAACAAAAGCGCAATATGCAGAGCTTTTTTCATGATGCTAAGATATTATTATAATGACTTTGCTCTGTACAGTTTTCACACTGAATTGGACGGCTCAATGCAGGTTTAACGCGCGTATTCACAAACGATGCTTGCTTAAGTGAAGTAGAAAATCGAACGCGTAGCGTTGAATAGAGCTCTGTGATTGGCTCATGTGTCACCCTGTGCGTCCACGTGCACTGTGAGACCTCAAAGTAATGTTTGTGAATACGGGTGTTATGCCCGTTTTCACCATCAATCCCTTATTTTTAAGTGACCCCTATGTAAACAAAATGTATGTTATATGTTACCATGTGGGTCACTTAACAATTAGGGATTGATAGTGAAAACGGGCATTAGTTTTTTAAGCATTAAGTTCAAATCCTATAACTACCTAAGAGCATTGATATGATTTTAGTATTTAACCAAATGGATAGAATGTTCACACGTCACACATTTTTATTCAAAACGTTAGTATCGCTAATACAACTCAATCACTTGTAACATAATGTGTCTGCTACAATATTCATATGTTACTAAGCCATTTTGTGCCCAAACCCACGATTTATATAGCGTCGCGGATTTGAAATATGTAAGCAATTTTTTTCAAGGTTTCGTTAGAAACTCGTTTAGTTTAGTATTAGCAGAGGGGAATGTATTTCAATACAGAGATACATCATAGCAATTTTTAAAAGCAGGTCACAATATTCAACACAAACACAATGAATTCCACAAATTGATACTCCTGACAACTACTCTTCCTTCAACGCACGTCCAGCCAAAAGTACTATGGCCATAATCTGAACTACTCTACCGATATAACTCCGTCGGTAAATGCTGTAAAGTACTGCGGCGCCATCTGTAATGTTTTCTTGTCTATAAAAAAATACTCGGTTACAATAAAAAAGTTGAAGATCGATCTATAATACACTGAGTTGGTTTTGTTTTTGTCACCTGACACTTCACAGTGGCGCCGCGCGAAATATGAACCGAAAGAGAAAACTTTCCGAACAAATTTCGTCCAATAAACGTTGGCAGAACGATACTGCACGCTCTTGTTTTCAATGTTACTTCTTGTTTTGGCGAGGGATACGATTTTCGGCGATCTTTAAAGTTTTCGATCACAAGCTTGTTATGAGTTGAAGATATTGAGCTTGTAAAGAATGGAGATTGCGTTTGTAACAGATTTTGGAAATGCAGCCCTTTTACCAATAAATGTTATGAATTTAGTTGAATTTGAATCCAGCAACATTATTTCCTACTGAGGTAGGTACCTAATATTGTTGCTGATAGTTGTCATACAGATGGTACAGAGACTACTCTGCTGCACATACTGGTCATTCTCTTGCCTATGTCATTGATACACCGAAACGCAAACAATGACGCTGTGCTTACAAAGAAGTACTTAGTCTTTAGTCCAAAAGTCTTAAAGCCCAAAGAAGATTGTTAGTTCTATGGAAATATGACAAGGCCGTCGATATTTCCTTCTCTTGATAACAAATAAAATTCTTTCCCTAGGGTCCTAAGCAATTTATATCATAAAAATATTATTATACTTAAACAATTTCCTTGCCGATTAAAATCCTGTCGACAATCCTTCCAGGCATCATAGTCCAGGCTGTCCCNAGGGTTCCCGTACTTCTTCTATTATGTCACTGTCCAGTAATTCCTTTATTTTCCTTTCTATCTTTTCTTCAATCGGAATTGGGATTCGACGATATGGTTGTGAAACAGGTTTTTGAGTATCATCGATAGGAATTTCTACCAACACATCCTTAAACTTCGGGAATGGCTCGTTTCTAATTTGGTTGATGTCAACACCTATTTTTAGGACACCCAATTTACATGCAGTGTCTTTGCCCAGTAAATTTCTTGAGCCCTCCGCAATAACATATATCCTTGCGCGTTCTTCCTGCATATTTACTTTGATCGTGGTTTCAAATGATCCGATGATTTTTAACGGTATTGTACTGCCATATGCCAGTAATGTTTTATTCGGGTTTTTTTCCTGATTGAAACAAGCAACTCCTTGCTCTTTTAAAGCGATCCATGTTTTTTCAGTTACTAGGTTATATTTAGATCCGGAATCAATCAGCATTTTAGTTCTTATACCTCCGACATTACATTCTATATTTGCATCATAATTGATATTAAAAACATAATCGACTTCTTCATCTGTTATATTGTCAACTTCCTTTTGGTTTCGGGGCTTTTTACTAGGTCTTTCCCATCTGTTCCTGTCAGTTTCTTCCAATTTCCTTTTTCTCAAAACCTGTGTCTTGCAATACTGCTTAAAATGGCCTATTTTCCCACATGTGTGACATACTTTGCCTAACGCCGGACAGTTTTTATCATCTGACATGTGTCTAGAATTCCCACATCTGCCACATCCTTTATTTGAATTTGACCTGGATCTATTCCCGCTAAATCTAGCTTTATTTTTCGAAGAGTCCACTGCATGTACCTCTGTTGTTTTATTTTGCTGACCATATTCTTCCAATTGGCGTGTTACAACTTCTAGAGTATTAGCTTCTGTAATAATCTTGTCTAATGTTACACTGTCTCCTATTGTCAAAATTTTCTTGCGCAAATCAACAGAGAGGCACTTCTCTGTTATTTGATCGATTAGGTGGTCGTCTGGTTTATCAAATTGGCACTTTTCGGCTTGATTCCGCAGCCTCACTAGGAACTTTTCAAATTTTTCCCCTTCATCTTGTCTTATTAAACGAAACAAATGTCTTTCATAAACTTTGCTTTGTTTTGGAGTGAAATAATCGTTAAGTCTCTGAATAGCTATGTCAAAAACATCATTCTCATCAGAGGGTGTAGCATTGGCACCCGGAAGACTATAGAAAATTTCTTGAAGGCCCGATCCACCAAGAAGTAAAAGTGTCGCTCTTTTCTTTATCGGTGTTGTTATCTCTGTAGCCTCTAAGTAGATATTTAAAGAACGTTTCCACTTTTCCCATCGTTGGCCTAATGATGCACTATCACCCTCCAAATCCAACTTTTCCAAGGTCGGTAGATTTGCCATGGCGATGAGCTGATTGGGGCGACCTGAAAATAATAAAACCTTTCGCGATCTTGTTTGTACATTTCACAACCCTGTACCATTTTTTTTTCCAATTAAATGGAGGTACTTATGTACCAGATTCCCAATTTAATGGAGGTATGAATTACCATTTATTTCCAATTTAATGGGGACGTAATTAACGACAAATTTCCAATTAAATGGGGGTATTTTATACCAACGATTTCCAATTTAATGGAGGTAACATTGTACCACTTATTTCCAATTAAATGGAGGTATGTTTTACCATTTATTTCCAATTTGATGGATAGTATAGCTTATTGTTGATTTCCAATTGAATGGGGGTACCATAGGTAGTACCATTTTTGTATGGAGTTCACTAGCTTCTATTAAGCTAGTGAACTATGCACAAAATTATAAAAGTAGGCAATGTGACATTTTACACTTGTAGATTTATATAAAAACTGTCTGCAATTCCATTTTAAATGGGTATAGTAGGTACTAATAACATTTTTGCGAGTACTTAATGATTTTATTGGTATAAAATTAAGGTATAATTGCAATAAACACGTATGATAAACTATTTTGTATATCGACTCATTGAAACACAATAATAACTCTTAATGCGTCCGCACTAGCATTCTGTAATACTTATGAACATCTGCACCCGCACTATGTTGTTTACAAGTTGCACAGAACCGGCGGTTATTTATTTTATCGTAGTCTAAAGCTATTTGTAACAAACCGGTTTATTATAACAAATGATAACGACACATTTTATGCCAATATAGGTTGTACGTAGCTACTTAAATTCCACAACTCGAAACAACAATAGCAATAATATGAACCTAATTTTAATAAAAACGATTCACGAGTGCAAAAAACAAATGCATTTGTATGCTTAAACGGTTTTAAATTGCCCTTAAGTAATTATACAATGATTTTACTGCTTTTTTTTCTAGCACATTGACCCCTTTTATTTTGTTTTAATTTGAATGAAATAAAAAATAATAGCCTGACCTTTGTCCCCGTCGCCACNGCTGTCCCCGGGGAAATCTGCGCGTCAAAATACGCGACAAATTTCATCAGAGCCAAGAAATTACTTGGATAGTGACGGCCAACGTTCCGGTATTTTTCCGGTGTTGGAACGCTTGAAAAATACCGGTGCATCGTGAAAATGCTTGCGCGAGTTCCGGCAAAAATAATTTTGAGCGTTAGAGAGAACGCCCGAATTATTAGGATTTTCTGTTTGGGCGTATTACAGCATAATAGAAAGGTGATAGTCGAAGCTGTGATAGTCTTTTGTAATAAATTAAAAAAATCATCAGTCTTTTGTGACTAAAAATACTAATATTAGTAAATATAATATTTAAAGCATGCCCCAATGCTGCCTATGTTCACCAGTGGATGTCCTATGGCTGAGATGATGATGACTACTTATCAGTTTCGAATGTTGATTTCATGACAGTTACTTATGTATGCGTCCATGCAGACAATTTTATTATTATTTTGCATTCAACTTTAAATTATGGCAACAACTTTGTTATTATTTTGTTTTGAACTTTAAAATACCGGTATGAAGTAGCGATATATTATTATTTCTATCAACACATTTATGTCAAAAATATAGCTACCGGTATCTCGGCGAGTGCACAGCCCTACGTAATTCCCCAAACTTACTAAAAGGTTCTATTGGCTCCGCTTAGTCGAAGTGGCCAGTTAGCCCACTCGGCTGATTGGTTCGNCTGTAACACGATCTCACTGGCTCGGCAACTCACTGTGTGCGCAGGCGGCACGTCCGCTCTCGCCCGTGGCTCGCGCTGCAATGACCGCGCGCCCCGCCACACAGTAGGCACGAGACAATGTCATACGTACTAAGGATTGTAGGTTCTACTCAAACACTACATCTCTTCCTTATCAAAAACTTTATTAATCATTTGATACAATCAACCTTGATTACACTTAATAGTATGTAAGTTACCAATTTACTGTAACTCATCGAATTGATTTAGATTTTCACTGTTGTTTGTCAGATTACGTTCTTGATTATCTTGTATTGATTTCCACTCTCCTTCTACTCTCTTTAAATGTAATATGTTTCTCCTCAGGGTCTGTCCAGTTTCTTCATTTCTGACGGTAATATCTCCATTGCTTGCTGTCTCAACTATGTGTGGTGCTGGGTTATAATTTGGTGCAAGCTTGTGACTTTTGTTCATTTCTTTTACATAAACTCTATCTCCTTCGCTCAAATCCACATTATGTGCATTTCTTCTCTTGTCTCCGTATTCTTTTCCTTTTTCTTTTTGTTCTTTATCTTTGTCTCTAACTTCTGTGTCATCTCCTGTATGTATATCCTGAAGCATAGGTATTTTGTCTCTGTTCTGTCTTTTGTAAAACAGTTCTGTTGGTGTTTTCCCTGTTACAGAGTGAGGTGTTGAATTATACATCATGAGGTAATCATTCAAGCTATCTTGTAAATCTTTTTTCTCAATCCTGCCAATCTTCAATCGTTTTNCGGCGAGTGCACAGCCCTACGTAATTCCCCAAACTTACTAAAAGGTTCTATTGGCTCCGCTTAGTCGAAGTGGCCAGTTAGCCCACTCGGCTGATTGGTTCGCTTTGTTTTATTTGTTCCTGTATCAGCTGTTAACGGTAATAAACCTTTTTCTGTTGGGGCGGACAGCGGGCTCTTTTATGTGGACGACATCGTACCGGAAGAACTGTTGCTCTCGACTAACTGAATAATCAATCAACGCACTGTAATTATGTTACAGAAGTAAGTAAGTGGTAGTAGAGATAATAGAAAAAAGTATTCATATATAACTAAAAACCTATAATTCAATAATTAAATTAAATAAAAAAGTTTTGAAAATACCCATAGGTTAGTAATACCATAAGCATTAAAATTTTTACAAGGAAGTTTTTTTAGATTTTTCATATAATGTCAAGTTTCATCCTATCTATCCCTACCTACAATATCTTATTTTATTGACCGGACCAGATATCGAGCACAAGTTCTATTGTGTTCATATTTGTAATAATTCAGGAAATTAAATAATACGAAAAAAATCGCTTTTATTCATATGAAAACATCTAAATACAAACAAACAAGACTACAGAAGTATTTACTTATACGTTTTCTTTTGATCGGCATCGCTTTTGCTGGACATAAATTCTCATTATCATGGGGTATATCGTCCGATTTGAATTGCAAATCGGGGGGAGTGGGGGGACAATCCCGAATACAAGATTGTGACAAATCGTGCTAAACTGCATGCGATTGTGGACTCTAATGCTTTGATTTAAGACTATTGAGGCGCGTTTTTCTATTCGAAGGCTTTAAATTGTCCCGGGGTTGTGTTCAATTGTTTCATTTATCATGCGGAGGGAATAGAAGGCTGCACTCGTCAGCACAGTGGATTGGGACAAATAGATTTTAGAACTGATTGTATTTTGTTAAATGTAGCTAAGTTTTCAGGCTATTTTATACACTTTTGTTTGTCAGACATCCGTTTTGTACTGGAGATTGATATTAATCGCAAGAAAATAAGTTTGTTCGTTCGTTTCAGCCAAATGACGTCCACTGACAAGGCGACAAGGGCCTCCCCCAAGGTTTTCCATAATGAACGGTCCTGCGCTGCCCGCATCCAGGCTCCTCCCGCGACCTTCACCAGATCGTCGGTCCACCTAGTAAATAAGTAGTTTGTTACAAAATAAAAGTTTATCGGGTAGTGTAGTAAGTGATACACCATATGCACCAATATACAGCGTAAAATAGACTCGAAAAATTTCAACAATTAGGCACTACCCCGCAGTTCAGTGACCGATGCAATTTTTCAGTAAACGTAAGGTCGTTAGTTCGAATCTTACCTCTGACATTCGATTTTTTCGAGTGAAAAACCATGAACGAATATTTTTTCAAGATCTTAATTTATTTTTTTAGTACGAATACATAACTTTGAAGGCGTTCGTAATAGAATTCCTTCATATCTCGAATGCTCGCTGAATGGGGCTCATCAAATAATCATTAAGCGTCAGATCGGAGCCAGTTTCACGTTTACGTTACGTAAAAAATGTACTTTAGCAAGAATTTTCGGGTTTTTCAGGAAAATCAAGTGTATTTTATGTGTGAGTTGTAAAGCGTGTAAATTCTTTGCTGGATTAATTGTATATTCATTAGGGCGCTACTTATTATACTGATTCATATGAAAGATGTTTACTTCGGAAGGCTTTGACAGCATCTAGTATTTAAATACTTCCTTGCATAGTTAAAGAGTCACTCGTCGAATCTAAATGTCGGTTTAAGTTTCAGATAACAAAATAATAGTCCTAAAATTAAAAAAAAGTATTATAACACTAGCTTTTGCCCGCGGTTTCACGCGCGTGAAATTTCGTTTGTCACAGATCGTCATAAATTATAGCCTATATGCTATTCTGGGTTACATAAACAATAAAAACTTTCGCTGGCATCCCTAGCTGTCAGACGCGTAACTTTAACGGGGTCAAATTTTTAATGTTAATTTACTTATTTTCGTGTAATATTGTGATAAAATATACTGAAATCAATTGTTTATCGTATAAATAATGTATACGAGTGTTATCCGACGAAAATATTTAATATTTAAGACAAAAAAGTGAAGACAAAATTTCGTCAGCTGTCAACGATAAATCTTCATAAATTCAAATTTACGGAACAAATTAACAGGGGAGTATTGTTTTTATTCATTAATTAACTAATATCCATAGGTAAATTACATGTATTTTGCAAATCAAAATCCGTTCAGTAGTTTTTGCGTGAAAGAGTGACAAACATCCAGACATCCAGACATCCAAACTTTCGCATTTATAATATTAGTAGGATACTTCCAAAATACTAATATCTACTACAAAGCGAGAACTGCATGATATTATTCAAATACACTAACCGTGTTCCCGATCCACACTGAACGAGGTGCGGTCGGGCCGAGCTCGCGGTCGCGGCCGAATTGAAATATCCGATAATGTGGTGCACCGCACTAATGGATATCTGTGATTATGATCGCGACATATATTTGGGAAAATGTATTGTTTTTGTATTTATTTAAAAGTATTTGATGAATCTCTTCTATTTACCTATAGGTACTAATTAGGTACTAATATTATATAGCCGAAGAGTTTGTTTGTTTGCTTAAATGCGCTAATTTCAAATACTACTGGTCTTATTGGAAACATTATTTTTGTGTCGTATGGTCCATTTGTCTAGAAAGGTTTTAGGCTATATAACTACAGCAGAAATAGGGGCAGCGTAGTAAAGAAAAACGGGAAATATTATTTAAATTATTTCACGCGTACGAAGTCGCGGGTACAGTTAGTGTCACTTAAAAAAGCATCCGTAGTTGGAAATAATGAAACTATGCATCCTATCAAAAACATTGATGTGCAATGTGAGCAAATAGGTGTCGTTAAAATCCATAGTGGTGCCAATCTACACGCATACTACGAACCGTAGCACTTTGGCGTAGCGTATGTCTTGCTACGAATCGTAGTGTTTTGGCGAAACGTATGTATTGCTACGAGCCGTAGTGCTTTCCTGTGGCGTATGTCTTTCTACGAGTCGTAGCACTTTGGCGTACTAATACGAAAAAACTACTACGAAGTTGACCGTTCACTTCAAACAATGTTCCACACACATTTTGGCGTTTAACGTTAACCAAATACTTANATAGTCCATTTGGGGTCGTATTACTTACGATGTAATGTGTACCACCTACCTATGTGTATGTGTTACTGCATGTGTTATTATTCCCGATATTATTATGTATGAGTCAGTTGTGGAGGCGCAGGCGCATTGATCGGGCGCTGCGCCAATAAACCGGAATTCACTGAATACGACGTGTATCATTTATTTATCCTACGTTCACGGCCGACACACAGCCGTGACACTGGTGACCCCGAGACACGCAAAAGCCGAAAATGTACCCGCAAACCACCAACACTCAGCCGATTCCACAACCACCGCCGTCTACGAGCACAATGCCAGCAGCCAGCGGAAA